CACACACACACACACACACACACACACACACACACACACACACACACACACAATCTAAGGAAGCCAGCAGATTGCCTTGAATCCCTTCGTCACAGTCTCCATCCTGAGCAGCACACTGGTGACAGTGGAGAGGAAAAACTCCCTTCAGCAGAAAGAAACCTCCAGCAGAACCAGAACCAGAACCAGAACCAGGCTCAGGACGGACGGCCATCTGCCTGGACTGATTGGGTTTGGGGGGACAGGACAGAGACACAGACTGGACCTTTAAAAAGTACTGCAGGTAACTGGTGTCCCAGCTTCTAATCTGGGTGACTCATGGTTTCTGTTGAGCTTTATTTATTTATTCGGACCCCTAACCGGCTGTGGCAGAGTGGTTAGGGGAGTTGTCCCAGAACCGATAGGTTGCCGTTCAATCCCCCTTTCCAGCTGTCTCAGTTGTGTCCTTGGGCAAGACACTTGACCCCTAACGTCTGTGATGTGTRCCATCAGTGTGTGAATGTGATCAGCACTGATTAGTCTCCACAGATGATCTGTTTGTTAGCTCTGTAGAGATCCAGTAAAGTGCAGTGTGAATGGATGAATGAGGACACAGACTGCAGGGTGAAGAGCTTTGAGTATCCTAGTTGGATAGAAAGGTGCTGTATAAGTACAGTCCATTTACTGTTTATCAGAGTTTCATCCAAAAACTGGAGGAAACATCACCTGTAAATATCATGTAATATAAACTAAAAATGTCCTGCTTTTATGTAAACAATAAAACACTACAAACAGTTGACAGGAGTGATAGAAATATTTATACTGTTCATCCATTCATTCATTTATCTGCTCATCTATTCTATAACCTATTGGTTCTGTTGGATCAAATGTTTGACTGAATGCAGTAACTTTACTTCTTGCAGTTCTGTGTTTCTTTATTTTTTGTTCAGATAATCTGTTCTCTGACAAAAACTCAAAAGACAGACTGAACTAATCTAACAAACCCATTGAGCCCACAGAACATAACTCCTGTCATCATCTGTGTGTGATGATGGGGATTATTGAGGGACTGGTTCCACAATACTGATACCAACCATACCAACAATACCAACGATAACAATACCAACGATAACAATACCAACGATAACAATACCAAAGATAACAACAATACCAAAGATAACAATACCAAAGATAACAATACCAACGATAACAATACCAACGATAACAACAATACCAGTAATAACAACAATACCAAAGATAACAACAATACCAACGATAACAATACCAAAGATAACAACAATACCAAAGATAACAATACCAAAGATAACAACAATACCAAAGATAACAACAATACCAAAGATAACAACAATACAAACGATGACAACAATACCAACAATAACAACAATACCAACGATAACAACAATACCAACGATAACAACAATACCAACGATAACAACAATACCAACGATAACAATACCAATGATAACAACAATACAAACGATAACAACAATACCAACGATAACAACAATACCAATGATAACAACAATACCAATGATAACAATACCAAAGATAACAACAATACCGAAGATAACAACAATACCAACGATAACAACAATACAAACAATCACAACAATACCAACAATAACAACAATACCAAAGATAACAAAAATACCAACAATAACAACAATACCAACGATAACAATACCAAAGATAACAACAATACCAAAGATAACAACAATACCAACAATCACAACAATGCCAGTAATAACAACAATACCAAAGATAACAACAATACCAACAACAACAATACCAAAGATAACAACAATACCAAAGATAACAACAATACCAACAATAACAACAATACCAATGATAACAACAACAATACCAACGATAACAACAATACCAACAATAACAATACCAAAGATACCAACAATACCAACAATAACAACAATACCAAAGATAACAACAATACCAACAATAACAACAATACCAAAGATAACAACAATACCAACAATAACAACAATACCAACAATAACAACAATACCAACAATAACAACAATACCAAAGATAACAACAATACCAACAATAACAACAATACCAAAGATA